AAAGTTTCCACCTTCCTAGAGTGATTACAGGAATCAACTAAAACACAAGAAGAAAAACTTAAATTTTCAAGAATTGATCAGTCACATGAGAACTGAGGAAGCAAACCGTCTTAAAGATGAGGAGGTTGAACGACTTAAGGGATGATGAAATCTCTCTCTCTTAATTGTTCTAAAGCTAACCTTGTGGCATCTTCTGGTACTTTTGTGAAAGACAGATTTAAAGGAAAACAGAAGAAAGATCAGAAAAAAGGACAAGTGAAGAAGCAGAATTATTTCAATAAGCCGGAGGGCCATATTCAAAAGTCGAAAGGACCTTGCTATGTCTGCGGCAAAATTGGTCAGAAGGCTTTCCAATGCAACTAGAGACAAGGACAAAGCTCAAAGCATGGAGGAAAAACTCTAGTCCAAGCTAACCTTACCAAGGATGGATGTTATTGCTTTTGTGGTCGTTGATGCATATGGTGGCTAACAAGACTGACTGGATACTAGACACAGGCGCTTCAAAGCACCTTTACGCCAACAAGGAGTTGTTTCACGAATTTGAGGAAACTGCTGATGGCGAGTGTGTCTACATGAGTAATCCACTATAGCTGGAGTTATGGGAAAAGGAAAAATTCTCCTTAAGTTAACTTCTGAAAAACCTTAGCCATGAACAATGTTCTATATGTACCCTCCCTTCGTAGAAACTTAGTTTCTGGTGCGCTTCTCAATAAAATAGGTCTTAAACTTATTTTTGAATCTGATAAAGTTGTTATTTCTCATGGGGGAGACTTTTTTTGGGAAGGGTTACCTTAGTGGGGGTTTATTTGTATAGAACAACGCTCAAGAGATTACTAATAATGCTAGTACTTTCAATTCTGCTTATGTTGTTGAGTCCATTGATTTGTGGCATGATAGACTAGGTCATGTTAATATTGCTTCTATTAAAAGACTTAGAAAAATAAAATTAATTCCTGCAGTTAATGTCGATAGTTTTTCTAATTGTCCTGTTTGTGTAGAGGCAAAACATATCAAAAAGCCTTTTAAGAATGTAACTAGTAGAAAGACAGAATTGCTTGAACTAGCGCATTCAGACTTAGCAGATTTCAAGAACATTGTTAGTAAAGGTGGAAAGAAATACTATATCACTTTGGTAGATACCTTCACAAGAAGTTAGATAAAACCCTGTATGAGTTATGGAAAGGGTTTGGCCCTAACTTGAAAATTCTGAAAGTGTTGGGGTGTTTGGCTAAGGTTGGTCTACCTGATTTTAAACAAGTAACTGTTGGACCTATGACTTTTGATGTTATTTTTATTGGTTATGCTCAAAATAGTGTTGCGTATAGATTTATGTCTTTGAATAATAGTTCTATTTGTGAATCTAGAGATGCAGAATTTTTTGAGCATGTTTTTTCATTGAAAAATATTTTGTCTAGTGATGTGCCTAATAATGCTTCTACATCTATGTGTGTTAATTCACATATTTTGCCGTCTTCTAGTGCTACTACTAATGAGCATGAAAATGAACTTAATAGGAGTAAGAGATGGAGAATTGAAACTAGCTTTGGTCCTGACTTTATCATTTCTTTCTTGACTGAAAATATTGATCTTGATATTTTGAGTGATGAATTAGTGTCAATCTATTTAATAGAAGAAGACCAAAAGACTTATAATGAAGCAATGAGATCAATATATGCTAGTGTTTGGAAAGAGGCTACTAAAAGTAAATTCGGTAACAACTTTTTTTTTCTTCCCGTAGCTCCCAATTTGATTCTCCTTCTTGTAACAACTCTAACATCTTATCTATATTAGGAATTGTTTTGTGAAGTTTTCAAACACAGAAAAATACTTTCACCTTCTCTTCTTCTTAAACGATTTCTAGGCAATTGGTTTATGCAAATTCCAAACTTCCAACCACGAGAGCTCGTGTTTGGAGGTGCTGTGGAACCTTGGGGAGCGACCGGTCTTAACGATTTGCACTCAGTCGAGCCAAAATCGCTTTCAAGGCAGTGGCTTGCAAAGGAACAAGGGTCATAGTTCAAACAAGTCCACCATAAGTCTCAACTTGTTGCTACATTTACGGCTAAATGGGTGTATCGTACAACAACAACAACAAACTCAGTCTAATCCCACAATTAAATGGGCGCATCTTATGCAAGAGAAAAAGTCAAGCCACAAAGAAAGAAAATCTTGAACAAAGTTCCAGTCACAAAGATTCTATGTATGTTGTTAATTTGTTTATGTGCCTAGTTTCCTGACGTATACATCTAATCCAAGTAAATACATGTACAAAACTGACTTCTGAAAGAAAAAAGCTTCCCCCCTATTATGTCTGGTTGAATTCTCTTTGATCATTGAACTTAAATGCTCAGAAAACAAAAATTCTGCCTTGAAAAAACTGCTGGCTTTCTTGGTAGGCTTGGTATTAGTCCTTATGCTCAAAATCTTTTCTTTCCAGGAGCAATGGGACTTCAACAAACACAACAGAATTGGCTTCTTCATATTCATAATTTAGTAGGAATGGAGATTTTGGATCAGGCAATTGGGGAAACCATCAAATGGTGATAGCTATGCTGACTGTCAAGAATATACTGCACTAATGGTGCATGTAAATTAGTTCATCTTCCTTGCATTCTCTTATCCCTATTTCCATGACATTACCCGAGGTAGAATGTAATAAATCACAGCAATGCCTTCTTGGAGCTAGCAACTGCATATCACATTAGATCAAATTAGACAATAAGGAAATTTTAGAATGCACGGAATTTAGAGAAAGAACAGTACTAAGCTCGAGAATGGCACCTGTTGTTTGTCGAGGACTAACTTGGTCGATACCACTCTGATTTCTTCTAGTCTTATTGGTGAAGTCATGTCAAATTTGCATTCCTCAGATGTCTTCTTTTTGTAAATTGTCTCAGTTCCATTGCTCCCAGAAAACACTTTGTCCAAGTAATAAACAAGCTGCCTTCTGCACGGATCAAATTCATATTTCCTCGTATCGAAGTCATATAATCCACCTAAATGACTCCTTTTCCAGGGAGCATAGCTCTCTTGCACGCGCTGAACATCTGACAAAAGCACATTCCTATCAAACACTTGAACAGCATATCCCCAAGACACTGAAACTGTCCAAGAAAACCAACGATCATAGCACACTGTTTGCTGTAAAATCCGATGCGGATCGAAGCTTGCTGCCTTGTACAAATGCTCCACAGCCTTTACTGTTGTCATATTCGGAAATATAGGATCGATTGCCTCCATATGATGCATAGATACCAATGGCCTAATGGGATGTGCAGCCAACATTCCAAACACATTTCCATGAAAATCCATCTAGCATTTCAATTTCACACAAACAGAACAAGAAAGTTAGAAATGCAAAATTCTCAATAGCCTAACTGTATTTTATAAGAAATTCAGACGTAAGTGAAAATGGCACCTGATGAAAACCAGGCTCGCGTGTTAAGCCGACACCAAGCTCTGCTAAACAGGCATGAACTCTACCATCACTTCCATATAAGTGGGGATATCTTTCTATACATGAATCAAAGACTTTGGCAAAAACTTTTGCCAAAGGGTAACTTATAGCAAAACCAGCTCCACCAAAAGCCATATCATAGGAGAAAAACTTATTCTGCATATAGCTTTCTGAATTTGTGCCAATGTAGTACCAAAGGTCATGATCATATTTAGAAAGTGTCTTCACCAAATTTTCAGGGAAGAAAATGGTGTCATCATCTCCAAACACAAACCATCTTACATTAGAATGATTAAGCGCCACTGTCTTAGAGACCACACGTGCCACACGAATAGCTGAAGGTGTCCCACCTCTATGCGTATATCTAAACCGAGAAGTATCCTCAGAAATGCAGATGGGAGGCAGAGACTCATTAGATGTTCCATTTGATGAAAAAGGTGGCATCTTTTCAAGAAACACACATCCCCTCATTATATGGGGTTCCCACCAGAGCTTAACATATTCCTTTCTTTTGGACCAAGATTGCTCATTGGATGCAATTCCAAAAACAATATGATCAAGATTGGTTTGGGATGATAATTCATCATCCTGTAATGAAACTGAGGTATGGAAATGCTTGTTGTTGTTGTTGTTAGGAGCAAGAAAGATGGTACAAACAAGATAAATCATGCAACCAAAAGAGGATATAATTATAAGATTTTTTAAAGGGTTGGGGGAATATTGCGCCTTATTGGGAACCTGAAAAAACTGCATTTCTGAGGATGGAATTGAGGACAATGGAAGAAGGGGTTTAAAGGAATTTAGTGTTATTGGTAAAAGCTATCAATCACACCTTTAGACCCGGAGTCCTTAGCCAAAGAAAAGCAGGAGAAATTTGACAATCTTATTGCCCTGGAAAATAGGTTACATCTTCATATGTGTTTATTAATTACAGCAAAAGAGTACTTGGAATTAAGACACTGATGAATATGTTAGGTTACATTTGGGAAAGTTAGGTTACTTTGAATATGTAACGCCATCTTTCTTTATCAATCTTTTGAGGAACTCCAATCAGATTTGGTGGAACTGAGTCAACAATGTGATGTGAAAACTGACTGAAAATGAAGAAAACAGAAGGCGTTTTTGCACATTTAAGATAAAAGTCAATGTATGAAATGAATATGTGACGTGTGTAAATTAAGGATTGTGATATTAAATTAAGGGTTCGGTTGCCGAACTTGGTGACCTTCTATCTTTGGAAGCACAAGTTTACCAACCCCAAATTTAAAAACAGATTTGCCTCAATTTTTGCAACAAGTGAAAGTTAACTTTATGTATGCCAAACTTGTTCTTAGTTTTTTCTTTCACTAATCATTAATCATTCCAATATTTCATAAAGTGATTTATTCTAATAATAAAGGGTGATTTTTCATATGAAAAATGACATGCACAGTACTAAATTATACTATCAGAGATCAAGACAATCAGCTTGATCAGCTTATTCAACGTGTGATTCACCATTAAGTCTGCTTCTTTTAGATATCACATTTACTGATTGTAAGAATTAAACTAACAGTTAAGGATTCAGTAAAACTTGATATCCACAGTAATTTCTTATTGAACATTAAATGATACATGATACGAGCTCCAGCTGAAGTTATTATTTATACAATTCATCTTTCTCCAGTTACAAATGCCTAAAATCAAATCATAGTTCCTATAAAATTAGAACAACTTCAATCCGCGGTATGTCAGAATACACCAATACAATTATAAGCACATAGCTTGCTTTCGCCATGAGATCCGTGGAATTGACAGGCGACCAAGGTGTCTGAGGAGTGATTAGTACTCATTCCAAAAGAGATGCAAGACACATTACCCCCTCAAACTAGGGTGCCTTAATATTAGAAGAGGTAGAGTAACAATCGCAAAAATCTGCAATGACAAGGAGAAGGAAATGGTGTTCACTATTCCAAACCATGAGTAAGAGAACAAGCTTAACTTTACAATCCTTTCAGTCTCAAAGGAAATGAAAAACTTGTTGCAAGAAACTTAAAATCTTGGCTGTGGTAAGATCAAACTGCTGCAAATTAACCCATTCAATACTTGGGCCAACGCCCAAAAGGGAGAGCCAAAAGGACAAGAAATTTAGGAACACGGAGTTCTGCAGTTTTCCTTTTAACAGTGCATACACCATTCAGGACTTCTCTGATATGTCCCAGCTAATTTCCAGCATGTCAATAATGCACTCTGACTCGAAACATGATTGTTATTACTGCCAAGGCCCCTATATTTCACACTACAGTGCAAACTACTAAATATATCTTGAGATTTTAACGACTCCCTAAACTAACTATTCAATTACTCCCTCCGTTCCAATTTATGTGAACCTGTTTGACTGGGCACGAAGTTTAAGAAAAAATAAGACTTCTGGAATTTGTGGTCCTAAACAAGTCAAAAAGGGGCCCACAGTATTTGTGTGGTTGGTAAAGCTTCTCATTAAGGGTAGAATTGTAAGTTTAAGCTAAATTGTTTTCAAATTTAGAAAGGGGTCATTCTTTTTGGAACAGACCAAAAAGGAAATAGGTTCACATAAACTGGAACGGAGGGAGTAACAGATATTCAAACCGTACGAAAAAGTTACAAGGCATTTAATTAGCAAAATATTAAACAATGACGAGCTTTAATATATAAGACAGAACACTACTAGCCAGGAAAACATTTGCAAATTAAATCAGTTGTTCTATGCATTTCAATTACAAACCTCTCTTCTTTTTGTGAGCATATAAATTTTCTGAGGAAATTTCCATTTAATCAACTTTTAAAACTTGCCACGTAGTAAATATTGTGTAAAAGAAATACGAAAAAAGGGGTCAAAACATCCCCTTCTGTTAATTAAAGACTTGCAGAGGTCTTCTTCCCCAAATGTTCTGGAGTTAAGCCCCCATAAGAAGAAAGAAGAGTGACACTAGACAGGCCTACCATATACGTAAATGCAGACAATTCAAATACTATGGTACTTAAATGCAAACAAATCAGATATCTAGATGCAATTTCCAGGAAAATGACATGATAAATAAGATTAAACACAGCATTAAGAGTAGTAAAAATGAAGTATTAGTATTAGATACCTAGACGCAATTTCCGGGAACAATATTTGAACTACTTGCGAACACAACTGACCTCCCTTAAAATAGGCACAGGGATATGGGAGGAACAGTTAGTTCAAAGGTTCCATAAAGCTATAATTCAAATTGTTGCACAAAATGATGATGCCGAATTCAAGAAGGTTGTTAGGACAAGAAGCTGAACTCTACAAATGCCAGAAACAGGAAAGGATTCACAATCATAAGCAAATGACAGAAATAGGCACAGCAACAACTAACAAGTGATCAGAAAAGGCAAAACATATTGCCATAATGAGAGGAAGGACTTTTATATGATCCAGATTTAGAAATCGGAAATTGGAATAGTGTTGGGAGAAACAGTCTTGTGTTAATCAACAAGGCAAGGGTGGAAGGAGAAGGCATATGATGTCTTTGTAAGAAGAAATTGTACCTTGTAAAATTCAGAAATGAAGAGAGAGTTCCTGTCAAGACACTGCATGATCCCCGCTCGTGCGTCCAGTCATATATTGACAGATCATTTGTCTAGAGCAATTTCGAGGATCTTTCTACGTTTGCATCGAGATCAACTCATCATACCCACATTGTCTAATACCAATTATCATCGTCTCATTGATAGGTGATGAAATGTCACAGCATGATCTACGGGGCGCCTTCAACTGATTCAGGAAACTCAGATATTCAGCAGAGGAAGTGCAAGATAACAATACACCACAAAGGAAGGAACAGCAACAATAGAAAAACAATATAAACAAAGTTCAGGGTTTACATGCAAGCAGAGTACCTGTTCAGCATCAAAGGCTAGCTTCTGCGAGAAGACTCTTATCTTTGCTAGTTCTTTTGTCGGACTACTTCTTACGCAGTTCCCATCGTGTCTTACATATTCATTCCATATGCCATCTCTACTAGAAAGAACATTTTGCAAGAAGTAGACCGCAGGTCTTTCGCATGGATCACTGGGTAAGACCCTAGTGTTGAACATATATTTTGCAGCGACACTTTTACCCCTTTTCCATGGTCTAAATGTTGGCTGTCGTGAGAGGAGATCTGGAAGAAGTTCGTTCCCTTCAAACACCTGAACTGCGTAACCCCATGCAACCGAAACTGTCAGTAAGTTGGACTTGTTGTAGCACACTGTTTGTTGGAAAATCCTAGCTGGATCAGCCTGGACAGCTTGGAAAAGATGCTCCGTGGCTGCAATCCTGGTCATGCCAGGAAAAAGTGGCTCCACAGCATCCAAGTGATGAAGTGATAACAGAGGTGATAATGGATGTGCGGAAAGGATACCAAATAAATCTCCTCGAACATCAACCTATTAATGGAATCAACTTTAGCTTCATATACAAACTAAAATTAAGAACATCCTAGGTGGCCTATATACTCTCAACTGCACCAAAAAAGGCTGGTCCATATAACTTCCATAAGCAAAGAAACAAACTTTGATGTTAGGTTTACTCATAAAGTTCACAAAAAGGCAGCATGCCAAGAACACATAAATATAAAACACATAAAATCAGTATTTCTATCGAAATGTTGACCTATGTCTATTTGTGTTTTCTTCTAGGTTGGCTGACCCATTTTTGTTACTATGAGATATATTGGCAGCCGCTGATCATTTGATTGGGCTGAAATTTGAACAAGCCTCACTTGAATTGCCAATGCTATTAAATTTGCCAACTTGGGCGGGGTGGTGCACAATTTCTTTGCTGAAGGGGTTGTTAAGCCCTAAGTTTGAATTCAAATTTTATTGAAGAAAAAGATAAGAGAAAAAAATTTGAAAAACATGCTAAACAGAGTTTCCATAGTTTGATGTGCACTGTCAAAAGGCTATCCCTTGAACTTCCATAAGCAAAGAAACAAACTTTGGGGCTAGACTCATAAGCTTGCAAACGGCTGCATACGAAAAACATATAAATATAACAAAGAGCCTAAAACACTACTTCTATGGGAGCAAGTCTTCAAAATATTTATTGCAATTGCAGAACTATAACGTTATTGAAGGAAAATAAGAGAAAAATTCTCCTTTGAAAACATGCTAAACAAAGTGTCCATAATTTCAATGGGCTGCCAATCAAATCAACCAAAAGATATGAAAAGATCAAACATTTCCCTCTGATACTATGATAACACATACATCAACTTGACAAAAAGGATTCATTCACAAATCAATTAACTATTTAACATAGCACTAACACGGTTTATAAATTCCCTCATGCTTTTACCAAATTAGGAATACATAAATCAAATAAATGAATCTTAAGATCGTCCAGTAAGTTCATCTCATTAAAACCAACTCCAAAATTCCATCTTGGTCTATTTCAAACATTGTACTTCAAGTTTCATTAATGAAATATAAACTGTAGAGTCGGTTGTTTCTGAAGACCCTCGGGCTCAAGGACAAATGAAAAGAAGCAGTAGCTAAAGAAAAATAAACCCCAGAAACAAAATTGAGTAATAAAGTTAAAATTAATTAACCTGATGGAATCCAGGTTCATGGGTCAAACGTACTCCAAGCTCAGCTAAGCAAGAAAAAACCCTAGAATCACTTCCATACAAATGAGGATACCTCATCAAACAAGAATCCAAAACTCCAGCTAAAACCTTAGCCAAAGGAGCACTTAGCGCAAACCCACCACCCCCGAATGCCATATCAAAAGAATACTTCTCATTCTGCTCATAACTCTCAGAATTATACCCAACATAATACCACTTTTCATAATCATATTTCGACAAAACACTAACCAAATTCTCCGTGAAAAAAACAGTATCATCATCACCAAAAATAAACCAACGGGTGTTCGAAAAGTTTACATTTTTAGCTAAGTCAAAAGTATCTTTAACAATACGAGCAATCCGAATTGCTGAACGACGACCAGAAGGGAAAGAATAAGGAAACTTCGAAGTATCAGAGGAAACAAGAATTGGAGGTGAGGAAACAGAGAGGGTAGTGGAAATTGGGGTGTCGAGGAAAATTACAGCGTTTGTGGAATTGGGTTTGTACCAAAGGTTAATAAAAGGGAGACGGAGAGAGAAAGAGGAAGAAGCGGCGGCAATGGAGAAAAAGAGGTGAGAAAGAGAGAGATTAGTGGAGCGGGGTGGGGTGGTGGGGGTATAGTCGGTGTTAGGGATGAAGTTGGTTTTAGGGGTGTGGAGATGGTGAAGAAGGAAGATTAAGTAGAAGATTACAAGTGTGGAGAAGAGTAAGAGAAGATCTTTGAGGCGGTTTTGGCTATGTAGAAATCTTGGAACCATGGGCATGTTTTCTACAGAGTTTGATGAACTGAGCATGGAATTAGAGAGTGTGATTAGTGCCTGAACTGGGTAACTGTGTTATGACCAGATCTCAGATTTTTGTTTCTTGTTTTGATCGACTGTGTTTCTCGTACATTGTCAAGAATGGGGAGAAGTGAGAACTGAAAAGTTGACCAATTGATGTCACGTGAAACTTTTTGTCATCTAAAACTTTTTTCTGTTTCTTTTGGTTTAACTACTGTGGATTTAGGGTGTCTTTGGTAGGAAGCAAAATATTTTTTGAAAAATATTTTGCTATTTATCCATTCGGTTAGCTTAAATATTTTGAAAAATATTTTTCCGTCAACTTATTTTTTTTTAATTGGAAAACTATATTTTTTTTATAAAAAAAATATATTTTTCAAAACTTTTTTCCAACCTTCTCTACCTTATACCCAGCTCACAATCCACCCACCCCAACCCCTTGTAGTAAAAATATTTTCTTTTATTTCAATTAAATGAACACGAACGTTTTTTTATGATGTAGAAAAAAGTATTTTCTTTCATTTCAACAAAACGAGTAGTTTCTTTTCATGATATAGAAAAATTATTTTCTTTAATTTCAACAAATTATGTATTTTCTTTTCCTGAAATAGAAAAAATATTTCAAAAAATGAGTACTTTCTTTTCATGATGTAGAAAAAGTAGTTTCCTTCATTTCAACAAACTAAGTATTTTCTTTTTCTGAAATAGAAAAAGTATTTTTTCCCCCAATAAAGCGAGTACTTTCTTTTCATGATGTAAAAAAAGTATTTTCTTTCATTTTAACGAAACGAGCACTTTCTTTTCATGATATAGAAAAAATATTTTCACATTTCAACAAACTGAGTATTTTCTTTTCATAATGTAGAAAAAATATTTTCTTTCATTCAACAAAACGAGTAATTTCCTTTCATGTTGTAGAAAAGATACTTTCTTTTTCAACAAAATAGTTATCAAGTTCAAATTTTAACGTTGTTCTTGTGTGAAAAAATAAAGTAGCACATTAGTTCCTTTGGGTTTGTGTGAATTTTAAAAAGAATATTTAAATTATTGAAGGAAATTGAGTC